CCCCGGTTGAGGGCCCTACCCTGCCTGGGGAGTGGTGGGTGGATGGGGTGGGTGGGTGGGCTGGGGGTGGGGGAGAAAGTTTGGGGGTGAGGGGAGGGAGAGGGAGAAGGGACTTGAAATAAGCTTGTTCCCTAACTAGAACTAATAAAATAAAATAAAATTTAAAGAAAAAATTCACTTCAATTCTCATGTTCCTGCTGTGTGTTTAAACAGTTTATTTTAGGATTATGAAAGGAACTGATAAACTATTACAAATACATTCCTTTTTGGCTCAAGGTTGCCACAAGAGTTTCAGTTATTTATACCAAAGTAAACTTTAGAATGCAAGGAGATATGGACTGGATATGGAATGATGGGCATAATTGCAATGACTTTTGATATTGCACATGGTAGTTGTATGTGAACAAAGTGAGAAAAATTAGGGAAATAAGACACTGTAATGATTGTATCATCAAAGGCTGGATGGGGGGGTACATTTGTAAGAAAACGTTAGTTTCAGTTGTACAGGTGATAAAATCCATAGTACTTTTGCAAAATGCAGAAGTCACTCACTACAGCCAGATTTCAGGTAGACAAATAAGTCTACAAATGTCCAAGTAGCTGTTCTGAACTGCAGGCTTGCCCGAGGTTAAGCCAGAAATAGAATTCAAGAAATTAAGATAAATCCCCTTCTCTAACCACTAGCACCACTCCCTTCCTACAGTGAATTTAGTGTGAAATAGTTTCTAGGTTTCTGTTCATGCTTGTAGGCAACTGAAGTAGGATGGAAAAATTAAAAACAGACTCTTCACTACAAATGCATTCTTTCTTCCATTTAAGGACCTTGAACCTAAAAAAGAAATAATTTCAATGATTTCACGGAAATTAGAATCCCAGCGTATAGTTTTATTCTAAAAGATCTCTTTAAAAACACATTGCAGCTCCTAAAAATAAGCTGAGAGACTTTACCTGAAGGGGACCATACAGCTTTCCATTCTCAGAAACAGCATCCCTTCAAAAGAGACTTTAATAGTTTATTTCTTCAAACAAACCTTGACAGCCGAAGATCATTAAAAAGATGAAACTACCCTTTCTCCCTAAACTACATTAGACTATTAATTTGCTGCATGTCTTAATTTTTCCAGGGTAAAAGTAAATTAGTACTTTTTCCATGCAGAGAATTCAGAGGGGAAAGGATCTTGGAGTCTAGAGACTCAGTAATTCATGAAAGAGCCTCTTTTTCCCTCTTCCATTTCCTGTTTTCCAGCTCCTTCCACTAGCACCATGCAAGTGCAGAGTAGCACAGAACTTCAACACAAATAGCTGAAAGTGACATTAATTATTGTATTTATTTACTTTGTGTTTTTTTTTTTTTGTATCCTTGGGCGGCTGGCCTGGAGACAGAAGAGTTTGGCTGGCTGTCCTGCCTTGCAGATGTGTTACGTTTAATTTTTTTCTCTGACACAGATGATAACTTAATGACACGAATTTACATTGGACAGGAGAGTTGACTCCTGGAGCATTAATTGGAAATATTGTCTGACTCAGTGCCGCACATTCAAGGCAAACTTTTTGTGGCCATGTATTTATCACATTGTAAAATGTAGATGGAGACAAGTGATTAAATGAACATTTTTAAATGTCAGTACTGTGCCATTTACTATACCACTGGAATTCATTTTGTTGTTCAGAAAGTCTGAAACTGCAAAGTGTTTTCCATGTGATGTGATAACTATCTTCTTCAAACTTGTATCATAGTATCTTAAATATGTATATACTAAGTAGGATCACTAATTAGTAGTACATTGTAATGAAATGTCTTTTCCAAACAATGAAGTCTTTTCCAACTAAATGCTTTTATTAAAATGATTTTGCATGGAGTGAAGCTGTGGTTGAAATAAGGCATATGAAACTGAGGAGTCATGAATAGAAGTATTCAGAACATCATGAGCCTGGTGAAGGGTGGTTTTAGGGTACCTCTGGCCTTCCCAGAGTTCACGCCTAGACTAATTTACTTTGGTATTTCAAACCTCACATTCTTTTCCTCACCTCAGACTCCTAGCCCTCAAGACTTTGAATTCTTCTTTAATAAATTTCAGTTTTTCATGTCTCTTTGAAATACAAAGTTTCCAGAAATAGAATATTAGTACCAAGTAGGAAGTTAGTTTGGTTTCATCATCAGAATTCCCCCTTATATTTCAGTTTGTCCCATAATAACTGATCTTTAAAGCAAGGAGATCAAATTTTCAGACTGGAATGGAATTTTCCATATTCCTTACCTGTTTAGGCTTTAGTTTTTGGTAAACATTATACTTTGTTAGTTGTAAGAATTATGTAAATGTAAATAAACATTTAATTCTGAGATTAAATACCTTTCAATTGTAATTTTTAAACTAATTTTGATATTATCTTTATGACATTTTGACAAATATTTTCTCAATGTGGTCAAAGATATTTGAAAAATGGGATGTCAAGAAAATATGAACATGTTAGTGGTCGGGCTTTTCTTCCCCTTTAAAAAATGTTCTAGGAGGCAAAACAAGATATTTCAAACTATCAGTTTTCTGTGAACAGTTGTTTAATGTTTGAGTGAATAATAAATCAGCAAACATTTTTTCCAACTTTTAGAAGCAGACACTTTGAGAATATACCTCTGGCTGCTGTTGGAGACAGAAGTTTCACACAGAATTGTGGAGTTGAAAGGACTATTGCAAATTTTGAAAATTTAATTAACTTAGTTTTTGAATGAATATTAGATTAGTTACTGATCTTGGACAAATTCACTTCTATAGAAGCATATATTGGTGAACTTGAATTGGATTTCCTACTTCTTTAATGTCATGTTCACATAATTTCTACCATGAGAAAATGTTTCCTTTTCATATTTTATATTCTTGGAAAAATTATAGATTTAAACCCCCATACACACACTTTTGTACACAATTTAGGATGTGAGAAGCTAAAGAAATTACTTCCTTTTTAAAAACTATATTTCCAGTGACTACATATGAATAAAAATATAGTTTCAATTGCTTCATATTTTTCCATGACTGTAAACCACTATTTCCCCAATGCTTTCAGTCCAAAATTTATGTTTAAAGTTGCCAAGGCAAATGTGAAAGAGAGAACAATTTTCTTATTTCTATTAATTAAATTTGGTTTTAGACAATTTATCACAGATGTACAAGCATTCTTACCCCAATCTGTCTATTAACCTTTTGACAATTCTCCAGTTCTTTTCTGAAGCTATCGAAATTAAACCACACCCACATTGATTTTTCTTTAAGAAAGGGAATTTACCTACATCAATGAAATTATGAAGTTGCTTGCCTGAATATTTCTGATTAGACTATGGATATAGCCTGTTAAGTGAAGATGGGTAGAGAGTCATGGAACATTTATAACAGCAGCTACTAATTTGAGTTAATGCCACTCCCCATTTTAAGCATTGAAAGTAGCTAAACTCATAACACTATGTTGAAAGTACTTGCAGTTCATTAGCTTGAATTTTCCCATACTTTATCAAATTACTTTCAGATATATACTTACTAAACTAATGTTTACTGATATCTAGTAAATAAATCCTTTTGATCTGTCACTTTACTACTTTTATATAAAACTATTTTTATATCTCCTTGTTTGTTTGTTTGTTTTGAGACAGGGTTTATTTGTGTAGCCCTGGCTGTCCTTGAACTCAGTCTGTAGACCAACCTAGCCTCAAACTCATTGACTCTGCCTCCAGCGTGCTTGGATTCAAGGTGTATACCACCACTGCCCATTAAAACTTTTTGTAATAGAATTTTCTAGGTTTGTAGCCTACTAAAAGGGGACAGTTCATTATTAACATTGATACAAATCATTCCTTGGGTGGCTTGAACAGTCTATGGGGCCTCTGGCAGTGGAACAGTATTATTCCTAATGCAAAAATGGGCTTTGGGAGCCCATTCCCTATGAAGGGACACTCTCTCAGCCTAGATACAAGGGGGAGGGCCTAGGCCCTGCTGCAAATGATGTAACAGACTTTGATGATCCCCCATGAGAGGCCTCAGCCTCTCTAAGAAATGGATGGGGGTAAGATGGAGGAGATGGTGGTGGGAATAGAAGGACAGGAGGGAGGGGGAACTGGGATTGATATTAAAATAAGATTCTTTTTAATTTAAATAAAATTAATTAAAAATCATTCTATAAGCCACTTAATCCTTAAAAGATTTTTTTTTGTATAAAATAGTATTGAATCTGCTTGAAATCACAGCTTTTGTTATTGTTTATAGGTAGAAATTAGAGGGGATACAGTGTAGCCCATCAGTATAATAAGGGATTCAATACCAATGGATACACATTACAAAGTTAGAGAAAAATAATGGATAGTAAGACTGACTAATCATCCTAATAATAGTCTAGCAGGAATATCATAGAGAATATTAGTAAAAATGACAGTTCAGACAGAAACTCTCTATAAAAATTTAGGACAAAGGAGGTACTTACTAACTTTTATTCACAAACACTTAGAAGCCAGAAATGGTAATGAATACTTACAACCCCCCTGGTCAGGTCTTAGGATTAGGTGTTCAAAGACACCCTTTGCTACTCAGTGAATTCTATACCAGTTTTGGGTTCATGTATAATCAACTCATCCCTAAAGAACATTGTGAATCAATAGGATAAATACTTTAGAAAAACAAAACAACTGGACAGTGGTTGTAAAGAAGCAATTTTACAAGTGAAAATTCACAAAATAAGTATATAAAGTTTTAATGTTTGTCAATTTATTACCAATTAACATTCATAAATTAAAACAATAAAGAATTACTCTCTCAACAGTAATAAACAGCATCCTCTTACATTATTAATGTAGAACCTACTTTTTTCACATCTTGGAAGTCTTAGCAAAATAAAAGTGTTTAATGATCTTACTCTTAGATCTATGAGTTTAAGTTTTACAAGTATGTTTCAGTTACATTACATTTGAAAGGAAAAGTAAAAAACAACACATTGTGAAATCCATTCTTATACATGGAAATAGAATAATATGTAATTATTGAAATATTGAAGAAAAATTATAGAATGAAAAAAGCTATGTTAAAAAAACTAGTACAAAGTAGATATGAGTAAATTGCACAGCATCTTTCAACATTTATTTCAAAGTATCTTAGAGTTCAGTGTATAACAGCATAGAAACAGGATTCTAACAACCACATTAAAAAGTTAACAGGTAATATGGAATTACAGATCGTTTTTATCTAATAGCTTTCTCTTGTGTATTTTCTATGATAAGTAAATATGCTTTAATCACTTGAAATGTTATTTCAGAAAAAGCAACAGGATAAAAGCAAAGGCAGTGAAGGAATAAAAGCATCAGGAGTTGACTGGATTCTGATAAGCCTGTGGAGGAGGCTGTTGGGAAGGAATTTATTTTCTTGGTCACAGAGCAATGAAGGCTCTGAGTGTTTCCCACTGGAGGAAAAGTTACTTCATTGTGTGACTTGATCACAGGAAGAACAATTATCATTGCTTAAGAAAGAAACGGTTAGTTAGAAAAGGCTCCATAGCCTTCCTGTTATTGAAGTAAACCATTAAAGCTTATGGGAATTAGAAATGTTTCAACTTTAAACACACATTCAGAAGTTTTACCTTTACTTAAGTAAATTATGGCATAAAATGAGTCTCATTATTCAGACGCCTATGTTGAAAAGAAATGAGCACCTTTCTCAACATAGATGTTCAGTTACCACCTTCTGACTAAACTGTATTTTTTGTTTCTTTGTAATCCTTGAAATACCTTCCAGGGGAAAACTAGCAATCCAAACCCTCTTTCCACTGTGCACTTTTCTAAGCACACCAACACTTGGCATAGCTATTTCTTGAATAATATTAGTCCCAAGTCCAGCTATGTGTCTGCATTATAGTTCTAAAATGTAACATCTATAGAAAGTCAGTCATCACTTCTGCAGACAATGGTGTTTATTAACCCTATGATTTTGGATTGTGTGTTGGTCCTGTAATTGGTGAAGACATAATTGGGGGAAGAAAGAAACAAAGAAATAAATCCTAGTTGCATGTATTATATATTAAATATTACATATTAAATAAATTAATATAGTTATAAGCCAAGCTACTATGTGCTTGGATGCTAACAAAAACTTGTAGATAGCAAGAATTGATCTCTCCATCCCATAAGAGAGGGACCACTAACTGCTTCAGTTTGTCTTTTAAACTTCCACAGTAGCTACAAAAACCTTGGGCTGGTAGCATCTGACTAGGTTAGAGTGTAAGTCATTCTTATTTATTTCTAAAAAAAAGTGGGTGTTTATTTTAATCTCCTACAAAATGCTATAATTAAAAAATTCATAAAACACACACATATGTTTAAAATTATAAAAGTTGTCTTTTTGAAGGCTGAAAGAGATGTATAATATGTAAATATTAATGGGCTAAGAAACTTTCTGTTTTTTTCAGTTTGGACTTTGCAGGTTCAATGCTGTGTGTTTAGATATGTAATATCTGTATATAAAGAGAAGATAGAAGAGAGAAAGCTATTTTCTTCTGATCTAGACATTGAAGTGGTTTGTTTATTCTAAACATGTAAAATAATTATAGTCTGTCTAATTCACAGTTGTCACCTTAAAACATTTAATTTTTGTACTAAAGAGAATTTCATCTTGACATACATGACTCATGAAATATTGAAATACTCTGAAAAATTAAATTCATAGGTATAAAATAACAATGAAATATTAAAAATTTGTTTGTGAAGATTTTGAGCTTGTTCACTAGTTCCAGAAATAGTTCTTCACTTATTATAAGTTCTTTCTTCATAGACTGGCTATCCAATCTTAAAAACACATAAACCCATACTTACATTGGTGGTTCTTCTTGCAAAATTCAATCCAGGTAATCATTCTGACAACTGAAGAGCCTTTGCTCTTTGGAAAGGAAAACTGGAAGGAAACTGAGTTGGGGTTGAATTCTCAACACTGAAAAAACAGCACACATGCACATCCAATTTTGACAAAATATCAAGAAATGATGACATTTTGATCAGAGTATCAACTGCAACACATATTGGCATTATTTTCCATCAGGGACTAGTCTGCTGAATCATTTAAAAGTTGTCTTCATTTATTTCTTTATCAAAATATCTCACATTTTTTTTGTTTTACCAATTTGATGCTAATTGAAAATATAGAAAGATTCATGGAGAGAGATATTCTATATGGATTCATCTTTATAATATATGTCTCATGCATTTCCTACCTAAATCTCAAGGTAGTTTGCATTTATGACTGCTGATTAACTTTCTGAGTGGTTTGGAAGCTTTGCTGTCTTCCAATGAGTAATAATAATCTGTATTCCACCACCAAACTCTCCATTTTCTGCTTGGAGAAGAATTTTAGTTGTTGGTATAATTTGAATGAAAACCTTTAAATTTAATTTTTAAAAATATACATTTATATTTTTTAAATTTTATGATATCTGTGATTAAACACCTTCATTTTTTGCAACATTCATTGTATTTTATTAGTGGCTTGACAGGCATTGTTTACAAAGAAGTGTTTTGCTTAATATCCTGGCTGTTTCACTGAAGGACTTGAGTCCTCAGTGCAATACTAAATATTCATATTTTTCACTTAAAAATTTTGTAGATTTAATAAGCATAGTCCTTCATTTGTATTTGGATACTTAAGTTTGTACAATTTTAAAATACTTTAAGAGTATGGCTACAACATTGGATCCCTCAACTCTGAATGAGACAACATTAATAGTAGAATGATTTTAAGCATTTAAAAGAGAGAAATTTTAATTCATAAAAACCAATGAATACACTTTTGGTCTTTGAAGCACAGAAGGCCCTGCAGAAATTAGCAGCTACTCCTGGTGTCATCTCTAATGCCAGGGATAGCCAGGCCCTGGAGAAAAATACCTGGCTTTTCCCTATAATCTATCCTCTAAGTGCAGCCAAGGCCTGCCATTCATGATCTATGCAGGCCAGAATCAAGTTGACTGCAGAGTCTGGGAAAGGGTTGCTTGCAGAGGTCATTTAGCTTGTGTAACCAAGACTAGACAAGGAAACAGATCCTAGCTAGGATAAGCAGGACAGAGCCAGCACAAACATAAAGCACCAACTTTGAAAAGAACAAAACAATCTTTTTCTTCCAAAGAACCAAAAGTACCTAAAAAAGAAAAGAGAAGCACTAGTAATAATAAATGAGTCCTAGATGGACCAAGTGTGGTGATTTCTTTGGTTAACAAAATATTAAGAAGAAATTAGGAAGAGGAAGGAATTCCTCTTGCCTAGGGAATGTCTTCTGCTGTTTTATACTACTTTAGCTGGTAGACACCCACTCTGTTCTATTTTTCTTACTATCTCTGTGGATGTTACCACTAACAACTCTTTTTATGTTTTTTGATCACAATATCAGTAAACACCAAGAAATTCCCTGTCCACAGGTGAGAAAAACTAGGTGAGTTTTTAAAAACCAAGGAAAACTTTGACATTTCAGAAATATGTATTAAAAAGTTAATGAAATCAATTATGTTTCAGGATGAACATATGCTAATAAAAACTTACATAAAAATCTAACATGTCACCGGGCATTGGTGGTGCACGCCTTTAATCCCAGCACTCGGGAGGACAAACAAACAAAAATCTAACTTGTCTGCTTGGATTTTTAAAGAGTTCATTTTCCAAAAAAAAGCCTGTTCATACATAATCACTTTATAAATTTACTGTAGTCTCCATCAAACATAAGTAATATAATCTGATGATGTTGAAGAATTAAAAATAACAAAATAAGAGACACTTGTTTTATTCAGGAATTATGAGAAATGCTCATTTCACATGATATGGCACAGTAATTTTTGCTCATTCATTCACAAGGAGCACTTCACCATGCAATACTATGTCATATCTCATCAAAAAACTGGAGTTTTTTTTTTAAATGTAGTTCCCAATATAATGAAGAGAATAGAAAATAAATGAGAAAATAACCGAGCAATATCATTACAGTTTATTATATATTCTGAAAGCAAGTTGTAGAACCTTACCATAGCAAAATTGATCGGAAAATTTCTTTTTGAGTAATGTTGAACAAGATGAGAATTGGAAATTAGTTTTGTGCATACACTCAAGAATTCTAGCTGTATGACCGAAGACTTTCATTTTGTAATTTGTCATGTTCTTCATCTGGAAAATATGAATGCTATAGAATTTATTTCACAGAATTGTCAGAAAAAATTAGTATCGATGTGGAGATACTGAAAATATCACCACAAACACATTACATGTTCAACAAATATTGACCCATCTTCCAAAAACAAATTTTCTGAATTACACAAAAATCAGTTATAACCAGAAGTTTTGGTAAAAGAAATAATGACTACTGTTAAAATGAATCTTTCCACCAAAAGCCACCCGAGCCCTACCACCATGTGGGCGCTTTCTGCCAGCCACCTGAGTTCTGCCTGCCAAGTTAGGGCCCCAAATAATATACAGAGACTTATATTAGGTACAAATGCTGCTTGGCCAAAGACTAGGATTTCTCATCTGTTAGCTCAGTCTTAATTATCATAAATCTATATGTTTTATAAGACTTATCTTATAGAGGATGCCTTCCGCTGGCGCCCTCTCTTGCCCAAGGATCACATGGCAACTCCAGAGCAGAGACCAGGAGGAAGAGAAAAGGGGCCCACTTCCTTCTTACCCTTGTTTATGAATCTCCTTGCTGTGTCACTTCCTGCGTGGATCACCACTTCTTTACTACATTTCCCAGAATCCTCCTTGACTCCTAGTCCTGCCTAACTTGCTGCCTCATTGGCCAAACAGTACTTTATTTATCAACCAGTAAGACAAACACATACACAGAAGTACTTTCCCCCATCAGACTACTAATAACATTTACATGCAATTTCTTCTTATTATCCATTCAAAAATGTAGTATATACAGAAGATCAGATTTGCAGAATTATAGTTGTGGGTGAGAAATGAAAAGTATCTTTTATTTTAGGGACATGGCCTATGGGAGGTTGCCTGTGCTCTATAGAAATGAGAGTAATTGAACTTAGTGGGTTATAGAAATAATAAAAGAGGGCATGTTAAAATAATTAACATTTTAATTGCAAAAGCATCAGAATAATGAATGACTACGTCTTGAATCTTAAGGAACTTATATTTCAATTGTTATTAATCCATAATGATCTGATGGTCTTTGATGACCCCCTCCCCCATGGAGGGCCTCACTATCCTTGGGTAATGGGTGGGGGGGGTTAGTTGTGGGGCTTGGTAGGAAGCATTCAAGGATGGGAAGGCAAGGAAATGGGAGGATTGATATGTAAAATAAGATTATTTTTAAAATAAAAAATTATAAAACAAAACCCCTTAAAAACAAAAAATCAAAACAAGCAACCAAAAAATAAATCTATAATTAAAACAAAACCCAGAAATGAATGGGTGGATGCTATAAAAACTAGCAACATTTTTCTCAGTGGTTTATTGGCCAATTTACAGAATTGAGCAATTCCCTTATTTTTATATGAATTGATTGAGGACAAGGCCATGTAACCAGGAATAAGGACTATATATCACTACATAGGGAAAAGGGATATCTAGTAATAATGGTAAGATAGGGATATCCTGGCTACAAAGGTCATGGCTTCCTTTGTTATCTTTAAGAGAAGGATATAAAGAACTGAGAGAGTGTGTATACATCCCTAGCCTTGGTCTACTTTCCCATGGACATTAGCCATAGTCATTCATTTTGTCGCTGAGTGTTTAACTGTAATGAATATACCATATCCTTATCACAACCCTTATATATGTTTTCTACACTGAAGTATATCAGGTACTGTAATAGGATCAACTAAGCTGCATAGTTCAAGACTGCAGACATAAGATAATTTAAAACAAAACATTATTTCAGTATGAAGTGAGGGTGAATACTGTGCTATTATTAAAGACAAAAACTTGCAATTGGGTTTAAGAGAAGTAAGCACATTCACTCACTGTTCTAGCTGCTACTCCAGATAAAATGTTTTTGTTACTTTGGCATTGGTATATGGGTTGTAGCTATTGATCTCATGAACCATTTCTGTCCATCCTATTGGGAAGACAGTTAAGAACACTACACATTCATTCATAAAGGAGTATGATTTCAGGATTAAGTTTCTATCTTAATAAAAGGAGGATTCTATGTTATTTGGACATTATATATAAAATTATACTGGCTAACAATATTGATGTCATATTAAATTGAATAACTGTAGAGATAACTATAGTGAAGGTATAGACAAAGCATATATGTATATGATGTGCAAGATAAAAAATAGAAATGTAAAAATTGAGAGACTGCTTATCAGTATCTTACAGGATGCCAGCTATCTTAAATCTTTAAAAGATGTCTTAAAATCTTTTATTGTAAAAAACATTTTTCATTACATTACGGATGATATTTAACATGATGTATATTCCATACTATGACTACTGACCTAGGTTCTATAATAAATTGAGGATCTGCTATCTGGAAGTTCTGACAATAGTAAGGTATCATTAGGGCCACAAATCTCTTATGAGAATTTTTATGAAATATACACCTCAAAGAATCTGGACCTATTGGAATAGGAATGCGGTTTAAATCTATCTTGAGGCTAAAGCTGGCATCTGTAATTAGCTGCCCTGAACGAACACAATGAGCTTAACAACAGCACTCAGGAGACTGTGAGTGGGCCCCCGACTGAAGTTTACAAGGACCAATGCAGATAAAATTACTGCCACTCATGATGTCCAACCAATGCTGACTGGTAGTATAATATCTTTCTGAAACATCCAACACCCTTCTTGTGACAAACTAACGACATTCTATATCTCCTTACCCTTCACACTGCCAGCAATTCATCTTGCTCCTCCATAGGTATGACTTTGTCTTGATACTTAGATGGCTTCCACCTATGCTTGCTCTACCAGATCAGTTGGATCACAATAAATCTGAAAAAAATAAACTATAGTAGGAATAAAATATTTAGCAATAAGAGTATGGTATAGAATCTTTTGCTCTATCACATAACGTATGAAAAACTTTTGGTTGAACATAGTGATAGAATAATTTTCTTAAAGGTAACAATTTGGAATTGATGTGTGACGAATAATGAATATATAATATAGAACTACATACATTAATATATTATATTAACATATTATATGATATAATATTAGTATATATGTAATATAGTAATTATTACATGTTTAACTGCATACATACAATATGTTATTACACAAAATGCTACATAATTGTTTAATATTGGTAACATTAAAGTTTACACAAAGATTAACAAGTGACAAAAATCAAATTTGGATATTCAAATTTTTCAAAATTTTAATATGTAAATTATTCATAATAACCTTACTGTATTCTTCTATTTTAACAAAGCTATACAACTGTCCCATTTATGCAGAGTGCATAGGTCAGTCCCATGCAGGCTCACGGGTTGTCAGTTCAGTCTCTGTGGGCCCCTATTAGCCCAGGTTAGTTGCTTCTGTGAGGTTTATTGTGGTGTCCTTGGCCCCTCTGGCTCCTACAATTCTTTCCCCGCCTCTTCCGCAGGATTCCTCGAACTCTGCACAGCCTAGCGTTTGGCTATGAGTCTGCATGTTTTTCCAACAGTTGCTGGATGATTCCTCTGTGGTGGCAATTGGGTTAGACATTGATCTGGTTACAAGAGATGGCTGGTTCAGGTTATGTATCCACTATTGCTAGAGTTTTAGCTGTGGTAATCCTTATAGATCTCTGGGAGAGTCTGTTGTGCCAGATTTTTACCTGACCCGGAAACACACCCCCCTTTCCAGTAGTCTCTTTCAGTACTCTCCTCTGTCCTCCCAGCAACCTGATTGATTGCTCATGCTCCCATCCCCCCCCCCTGCCCTCAGTCCACTCAGGAATCTCTTCTATTTCCCCTTCCTGGAGAGATCTCTTTCCCTGCACTCCACCATGGACCCTCCTTGTTACCTAGTATCTTTCTGGGTCAGTGGATTGTAGCATAGTTATCCTTTATTTTAAAGTTAATATCTCCTTATGAGTGAGTACATACTGTTAGTATTTAAGCATCTGTACTGACCTGCCCTTGGAGTTCTGGCAGGATATGTCCTCAGCTGCAGCCACTAAGAGTACCACCTGTGCACATTCACTGCATTCCCTTTTAAAAGGGCTCTGCCCACCTCTCATTTTTCCCTCTCTCCCTCTCCCTCTCCCTCTCCCTCTCCCTCTCCCTCTCCCTCCCCCTCCCCCTGTTCCTGTCCCTGTCCCTGTCTCTGTCTCTGTCTCTGTCTCTCCTCTGCCCATCTCTCTGTTCCCCTTCCCCCACCTCTCTTTTCTCTTCTATTGCTCCTGTCCCCAGAGGCAGGGCTCCCCGCTCCCCTCCTCCTCCCCCTCCCCCCTTTTCCCATTCCCTTTCCTCCAATGAAAAACCTCTAGTGAGCTCTGTTGCATGATGTCTTTCTCTCTCATTCTGCTTTTTAAATTACAACACATACCATGTTTATCTTTCTGCGTCTGGGTACCTCACTCAGGATGATATTATCTTCCTACATTTTGTCTTGCTTAGATGGGAGTTCTGTTCCTTGGTTTCTCTTTCCTCTCTGGTTTTCTTGCTCAAATGGCCAAGGGTTCTGGTGACTAGCATATCTACAGGTTCATTAGGATGTCTCCTCCCTGGTTTTGGGAGCTATGGGGAATGACCTGGCCTCTGGAAAAGCTGGGTCTTATTCTGAAGATGTTGACCAGGATGTGGAGCCCAGGGGTGGGGGTGAAGTCTGCAGTTGTTGGACAGGCTTAAGGGTTTTAGTGGTTGGTGGGTGATGTCTCCTCTGGGTCAATAGGATGACTCTGACCTCCATTAAAGCTTTCAGGGCTGTGGACCCTAGTGTGGAGCCAAGGGGAGGGGATCAACAAGTCCATTCTCAATTTGTATTGTTTTATGTGTGTCTGTGGTGTAGGCACATGTATACAAATCCATTTGTCAAATTATTAATTTAAAAATTATTATTATTAATAAATGTGAGGCACACATATGTCACAATACATGACAGAGTCAGCAGACAATTTTGTAAAGCAGAGTTTTCTCCTTCTGTCTTTATATGGATTCTGGGGATTGAACTGGAGTCATTAGGCTTGTTCTTCAGGCACCTATACCTATTAAGTCTTCTTGCTGGTCCTACTAATTTATTATTAATACTTTTGATTATGTTTTAAAGTTTGGTTCTACTGAAAGGCTTTCAAATTGATTTCATAGGGTTCTTTCTTCATATGACCACTTTTTATTGTTTTTGTTTTTCAAAATGACTGTTTAATATGTCTAATATTTGTGTAAATAGTGCAAATATGAGTTATGTGTGGGTATATTTGGTTAATGTCAATGGTGGATCTATTTTTTTAGAAAAACACATGATGGAGCACAATAATAAAGTCAGATTTATTCTTTCCTACCTCTGAAAGCGAAGAATCTGCTGTCAGTCCACAGGTCGCAGAA